TTTCTTTTATCAGATTGCTTGACCTCAGGAGTTCGAAACCAGCCTGGGCAATATGGTAAAACCCTGTCTCTCAAAAAAAAAAAAAAAAGAAGAAGAAGAAAAAGTAAAGGAGAGAAAAATCTCTGAACTAAACTTACCCCTTGAAATTCTCATGTGCCCACCTCTACTGCCTAGAGGAGTAGGGGCCATGAGGCAGAAGAGGGGGCATGTGGGATTGTTGGGCCTAAGTGAATTGAATGATTTTAATTTCTGGTTCTGTGATTCATGAAAGCAGTTCATTCTGATTGTCATCTTCTTTAAGTTCTGAAGACAAGGCACAGATTGGTGTGAATGTTGAAGGTTTAGCAGGAGCAGGTGCGTTGTTCAGACCAGGAGTCAGAGCTCTGTAAGCTAATAGCACAGGGACTAGTTAATAGATATTTGTACTGCAGAAAGTCCTGTTTCTCTCTAACATGCCACAAATGAAAACACTGTGATTTGGTGTTCATTAGCTACTGCCTGCAGGAAGTCAAACCATTGCATAAACGTGCTTAGGTGACTCCTTGCATGTCCCTAGTTTCCAGCATTCTAATGACAGAACCGTGAACCGTGCACCGCCTCTTCTAATATTCGGCAGTTCTTCATTGAGTTAAGCCTACCCTATAAGGAAGCAAATTTACTTGCATTGATTATACACGAAAAATGAATAATACAGCCAATAAACTTCTACAAAAAATGCTAGGCCGGGCACAGTGGCTCACGCCTGTACTTCCAGCATCTTAGGAGGCCAAGGCTGGTGAAGCGCCTTAGATCGGAAGTTCAAGAACCGCCTGGAAACATGGAGAAACCACATCTTTACTAAAAACACAAAAAATTAGCTGGGCATGGTGGCACATACATGTAATACAGGTTCTCAGAAGGCTGAGGTAGAAGAATCACTTGAACCCAGGAGGTGGAGGTTGTGGTGAGTTGAGATTGTGCCATTGCACTCCAGCCTGGGCAACAAGAGCAAAACTCCATCTCAGAAAAAAAAAAATGCTGTTGTGTAAACCTCATTTTTATACTAAGGAAAAACTAGGTACAACACAAACCTTCATCAACAAGAGTTTAAAACCTACCCTTATATAGTCATAAAACAATCCCAGAAGTTTACTCAATAATATCAAAACCAAAAACACACATTGATGAGACAGATAGCAGAAAATCATGATGTGAAAATGACAGAGATGTGTGAGAAAGAGAGAGAGAGAGAGAGAGAGAGAGAGAGAGAGAGAGAGAGAGAGAGAGAGAGAGAGAGAAACTGCACTATAGCCATAGTAGTGGGTAAAAGCCAAATAGCTTAATTTCTATCATGACATTCAATAGAACTGAAGGAACATGAGGCAATAGCTCCAAGGGTCCAGGTCCGCACACGGTGCCTGCTGGGTGCAGGGTTCTGTCGGCTCCCACAATGCATCGCAGATGGGCTAATTGTTATGGCCATGGCTCCTGCAAAATCTATCAAAGAATAATACAGGGACAGTTCTCTGCATGCTAATTTACCATGGTATAGCAGGTATAGGAGGGCAAACTGGCATTAGATTAGTTTCCTCAAATAAAATCAAAACCAAGATTTATGAAGACAAGAGGAAAGGGGAGAAGAAAATCATCCCCTGGGACCTTGGTGATTTTGCTCCCCTTGGATAAGTGACTTGACGGAAAGCTTTCAAAGAGGTCACTGTGGCCCATCTTCTCCAGACCCACGTGACTTGGTCACAAGAGAAAACAATTACAGATGTCAGAGGACTTTAAAATATCTTAAAAGCTTAGCAGTTCACCGTATGCCACAGAGTATCTGTGTGTGATGTCCACCATGTCCTTCTGTTGTCCACCCCCTCGGTTAAGCCAGGAGGGCGCCTCTCCCCTCAGGGGAATACCATACATCGATGTGTAGAAAGTTTGCTGTGCCAGCAAGTAAGTGACAAAAGAGACCTTGATAGAATTGGGAAACAAATTGGAGTATGATTTGGTCCTACTCCCTCGGAAGATAAGTTTGTAGAAGGTATTCACATTAGAAGCCTTAAATAAAGACTGTAATGTAAAAATGGTACATCCGGTTCTCTACACTATAGGAACACCTGCACGAGTGACCAAAGAAATGTGTACAGTAACGGTGGGGACTGCAGCATCATTTGTCATCCTAACACCATGAAACATGCCTCATTTCAAAAACATTTATATTTTTGAGACCAAGTCTCGCTCTCGTCACCCAGGGTGTGATCTCGGCTCACTGCAACCTCCACCTCCCGGGTTTAAGCCATTCTCCTGCCTCAGCCTCCCAAGTAGCACGGATTACAGGTGCCTGCCACCATGCCCGGCTAATTTTTGTATTTTTAGTAGAGACAGGGTTTCACCATGTTGGCCAGGCTGGTCTCAAACTCCTGACCTCAGGTAATCCGCCTGCCTCGGCCTCTCAAAATGCTGGGATTACAGGTGTGAGCCACCAAGACCGGCCTTGAAAAACATTTGTAAAGGGTTAAATAAATGACACAAACTGAGGAAGAAATGCTGTTTTCATCAACCATGGCGAGGATCAGCATGAAGATGACTGACTGACTCCACTGGTCACATTATTGATAGAGCAATCAGTAAACCCAGGCACATTGTGGGGATAGGATGCTACTGTAATAGGTCTCCTATGATTATAAATAAAAAACTTGAGGCACCTCACTCACCCAAGTCTTCCATGGCAGCAAAGATTTTTATCCAGAAGTGAATTACTATCTAAGGTCTCTGGGATTCCTCAGTTTGACATGTATAAGGTGCAGTTGCTCCTTCTCACGGCTTCAGACATAAGGAGGTCGGGAAAAGGACACGTGTGTCTCAGGATTAATGTCCCGTGATTAACCCGGTTGATTGTATGTTAACCTGGTTGACTGAAATGGGTTAAAACACAACATGAGGCATCCCTGGGTGGGATCGAACCACCAACCTTTCGGTTAACAGCCGAACGCGCTAACCAATTGTGCCACAGAGACCGTGACTACCGCTTCTACAGGATGCTGTAGGCACGGTACACTCACCAAACTACCCCCAGACCTTCTGTCCTCAGGATAACTGAGGAGGCCTTGGAAAACCAGACAGATTAGAGACCGGTGAGTCGCTGGGGTCACCTGAACACCTGCGCGTTGGGAGATTCTGGAGCCAGGACAGTCAAATGGCCTTCACCCACTCTGCCCCTGGCCTGCTTCAGACGTTCCAGGAAACACCCCCCTCCAAAACCTGCCCAAGCAGCCTGGTGGCCCAAGCCAAGCTGAACGCCCGGCAGGCTCCCGGGATGGCTCTTCCCGTACTTTGCTCCATGTTCACCTAGTAAGGGAGCCTGTGCCCACGCTGCTCAGTGGCTTTTGGGGCGCTGCAGAGCTGCCGCTGCCGTCATCGGATCCTGTGCCCCGATCCAGGGCTCCACCAGGGCAGGGATGTGGTGAGGGTTGCTGGTGGGTCTTCTCTCGAGGAGCAGGGTCTGGCACTCACCAAGGCCCAGGGCTAGGACTTGTCAAACGAATGGGTCGTCGCCTTTTGCTTTCAGTCCTTTTAAGAACCCTGAAAATAGAAATCACGAACTGTTTTCCCATCAGGAAGTTGTTGTTTTTTTTTTTAACAGTTTAGCCCACATCTGTTTAATCTTCCAGTTTAGCATATTTAAAAAATTAGTCTGTACTCAAATGCATAGTTTAAAAAATGAAGTGAGATGGCAGAGTTAGTGCAGTACTATCTGCCCTTCAAAGTTCATGCAACCAACTAATGCAACTTTTCCTTTCACTGGTAAATCTGAATGCAGTTCAGTCATTTGAAACCATCTGCAAAATGCACAAGATTAAGAAGTTTGCCAAGATTAATATCTAACAGTTGAGCACTGAAGAAAGTGAGGGAAAGGAGTAAAAACGACGAAAAAGACCAAGTTAGCTAGATATTTCAATTACATAAGGGAGGTGAATGTCAAGGCTGCAAAACGAAAGAAAAACGGGAAAAAAGTGGCAATTTTTTTTAAACCAATTTGTACAAGTTTATAGTTGACTTTATTTCCAAGTTTTCAAACCTTTCAAGATCTGAAAAGTGAGATACCCTGTCTGAGGGAATGTTTCTTTTAATTCACACCAAAGAAGTTGGGGGTTTGATTGCTTTCGCCGGGGTTTCCATGGAGTCAACAGCTCACTCTGCCAGGCTGCTGTTTGCTCACGAAGTCCTTCATAAAATCAAACTCGTTTTGCCCTAGCTAGAGTTCGGGCAGCTCCTTGATGCGGTCCAAACCCATTTCTATCACCAAGGACATAAGAACTTCGGCGATGAAATCAGTGTCTATGACATTGGGTGGCAGCATTGCAGCAGGGACGTGGGCCACCGAGGCGGGCATGTTGCTGCTGCAGCTGCCGCCGCCGCTGTCGCTGCTGCCCGCACCGCCGCCCGAGCTGCAGCGATGCTGCCGCCAGAGCCGCCGTGGGTGTTGCTGCCGCCTGAGCCGCCGGGTCGTTGCTGTTGCCTGAGCCGCCGCCCAAGCCGCCGGGGTGCTGTCACCACCCCAGCCGCCGCCCCAGCTGCCGGGGTGCTGCTGCCGCCTGAGCGGCACCATGAGCCGCCGGGGTGCTACTGCTGCCGGTGCCGCCGCCCGTGCCGCCGCTTGGGCCGCCGGGGTGCTGCTACCACCCAAGCCTCTGGGGTGCTGCTGCCGACCGAGCCGCCGACGTGCTCGGGGTTGCAATCTCGAGAGTGCTGGTTTGTCCCGTTCATCTGGTGGCCTGCAGCAGGGTGCAAATCCGGCATGCAGTGGCTGCGGGGATCAGGGGTGATGGTTGAAACACTGGCCATTGAGCCTCTGCAGCTGCATGCTGGCCGGCAGGGAGCCTCCCTGGCTGGCCACCGGGGAGACCATGAACTGGGAGTTGTTAAACCTGGCCACTGGGGCCAGTGCGCTCGGGGGCTGCCCTCCGTCCACAGTCCCCGGCCCCATGGCGTGCCTGATGCCGCTCTTGGCATTCATGTTGCCTGTGCAATGTGATCGCCCATTAGGGCGTTGAAGGCGCGCTGGGGCCGCTGCTGCTGCTGGTGATGGGGGCCTGGAAACTGCCCCATGCCCGTGCGGTGGGTAGGGTAGCGATGCAGCCCATTGGTGTCGTTGGGGAAGCGCCCGTGGTTCATGGCCATCATATGGTCTGCCATTTGCAGTCCTTCTGTTTTTGCGATTTCTGCCCCCAAGACCAGGGGTGTGATCGTGGGGTCCAGGATTGGCTCAGCAGCACATAGAGGGGGCCTTCCTGGCCTGCCGGGTGCTTCGTTGTCGCGATGTCGGCACCGAGGTCTGGCAGTGGCTACTGGGGCAGATTCAGAGCTCTCACAGCTAGGTAGGAGCTCCCAGCAGCTGCCAACAATGAGCTGTCTCTTGAGGATGATTTTCACTGGGCTTCTTGGCTGGCTTCACTCACTGCTGACACAATGAATGCTGAGGTGCTTCAAGGCTCTGGTCTGGTCTTCTTCCTTCTCCAAACTTCTCCTGTGAGTTACTTCACCTAGTCAACCCTTCAATCTTTGTGGAAATGCTGTTTCTAAGGGTCTTCACCTGCCTGTATTCTTTCCATCCTTCAGATCTTCCCCATTCTAAAGAGGCATGATATACACACACACACACACACACATCAATTATTCTCTGATGCAACACATTGCCTTATGATTTTTCACAGCAGTGACTCGAATCTGTAAGTATCTTGTTGTTTGTCCATAGCTTAATTTATATAATCCTGCAAGGTTATCCACCTCATACCATCTCTCTCTTTTTTTTTTTTTTTTGAGATGGAGTTTTGCTCGTTACTCAGGCTGGAGTGCAATGGCAGGATCTCGGCTCACCGCAACCTCCACCTCCTGGGTTCAGGCAGTTCTCCTGCCTCAGCCTCCCAAGTAGCTGGGATTACAGGCACGTGCCACCATGCCCAGCTAATTTTTTGTATTTTTAGTAGAGGCGCGTTTTCGCCATGTTGACCAGGATGGTCTCTATTCACCCGCCTCGGCCTCACAAAGTGCTGGGATTACAGGCTTGAACCACCACGCCCGGCCCCACCCTTCTGATTTCTATCTCTGTGATTTACTTTTCCTTCTTCTTGTAATCACATAAAGGTGCCTCTCCCACAGAAGATAAATTTGCTAAAAGTGCTGAAGTTTGAGGCATTATATAAGGCCGGATGCAGTGACTCATGCCTGTAAATCCTGACACTTTGAGAGGCCTCACAGCTGTTTGAGCCCAGGAGTTTGGAGACCAGCTTGTGCAACATGGTGAAATCCCTTCTCTACAAAACATACAAAAGTTAGCAGGGCATCATGGCCCATGCCTGTAATCCCAGCTGCTGGGAAGGCCGAGAGACACGAGGATCGCTTGAGCCTGGGAAGTCGAGGCTGCAGGGAGATGTGATTGGGTCACTGCGCTTCAGCCTGAGAGACAGAATGAGACCCTGTCACAAAAACTAAATGTAATATGGCAGTTCTCTACACTATAGAAATATCAGTGGCCACAGATCTGTGTAAAAGAATGACGATTTGGGGATTCTTTGTAATCCTCAAACTAAGAAGCCAACCTCATTTCGAACACATTTTGAAAAGGGTTAAATAAATCATGCACAAACTGAGGCCAAAAAATGCTGTTTTCAAAAATGATGGAGGCGATTAGCATGATGATGAATGATTCCACTGGTCACATTATTGATAGAGCAATCAGTAAATCCAGGCACATCCTGGGGATAGGACACCTCTCTAGGCCTCCTATTAAAAATGAAAACACTAAGCTGGTATATAATCCTTCCAAGCCTATAAGGGGCAGCATGAGGGTTTTATCGCATCAGAGGTGACTCCTTTGGTCTCTGTTTCTTGTTTACAGGCACAAGACAACCTGACTTTTTAGGAGGTGCTCTAGCAGAATTGGACCTGGCGAGGTGGGGGCCACACCTTGACAAGGATCCCTGTTAACTGTAACTAGAACCCTGGGAAGAGAAAACCCTCCCTGCCATGGGCATACCAGGCCGGCCTGGAACCGCCAATCTTTCGGACTTAGGACTATGGGAGCAAACGGGGAAGATTGTCTAGTGATCGATAATACAGGAGTGCTTTAAAAGCTAGAGCAGGCGTCCCTGGGTGGGCTCGAACCACCGACCTTTCGGTTAACAGCCCAACGCGCTAACCAATTGCGCCGCAGAGACGATTATGAGCAACTCCACTGGGTACTATAGGCAGGGCACACTCACCAAATTCTCATTCCTTTCAGCCTCAAGGCTTGCCCGACAGCACGGACGACTGTACAAGGTCTGGGGAAATCGGAGAGATTAGAGAGCGGTGAGTCGTGTTGGTCATGTAGGACACCCACGCTGGGAGATTCTGGAGCCTGAAGGACAGCCGAACGGCCTTTGCTCGCTCTGCCCCTGGCCTGCTTCAGCAGCCCCTGGAATCGCCCCCATCAGCGACCCGAGCCACCTGGGGACCCAAGGGAAGCTGAACGCCCGGTGGGCTCCAGGAATGACTCTTCGAGTTCTTTGCACCGCCTTCACCCAGTGAGGGAGCCTGTTCCCACCCTGCCCAGTCGCTTTCGGGGCCACTGCGGAGCTTCCACTGCCATCTTCCGACCCTGTGTCTGGCTCCGGGCCTCCACCAGGGCAGGGATGAGGTGAGGGTCACTCACGGGGAGCAGGGTCCAACACTCAGCAGGGCGCATGACTGGGGCTTGTTGAATGAATTCGTCGCCTTTAGCTTTTAGTCCTTTGAAGAGCCCTGAGAATGAAAATCAAGAGAGATTTTTCCAAGGGGAAGTTCTTTTCGCAAAGCGTTTATTCAGGTTGACTTCTCGGCACCCCGTGGGGAGGGAAGGAGCAGGGCACCCAGTGCACCTTCTGCGCGGTGGAGCCACCGGGGCTCAGCTGGGGTGGGAGGGCAGAGCGGGGAAAGAGAAAAGTGGGGAAAGAAGCTGGGGAGGGGTGGATCAGACATCTGCACCTCCTAAAAGGTTCGTGCAGAGGCACAAGCGGGAGAAGAATTGTTTTGTTTTGTTGGCTTTTGGTCTTTGTTTTTCGTTTTTGTTTTTGTTTTGAGAGGGAGTCTTGCACTGTCGGCCAGACTGGAGTGCAGTGGCATGATCTCACTGCAACCTCCGCCTCCTGGGTTCAAGGGATTCTCCTGCCTCAGCCTCCTGCGTAGCTGGGATTACAGGCGCCTGCCACCACGCCCAGCTAACTTTTGTATTTTTAGTAGAAATGGGGTTTCACCACATTGGCCAGGCTGGTCTCGAACTCCTGACTGCCCACCTCAGCCTCCCAAAGTGCTGGGATTACAGGTTGAGCCACCCCACCTGGCAGAGAATTGCTTTTTTATTGTAGCAGAATGAGGAGGAATTGAAGGAAAAACGGAAATAGAACCTGTAGCTCCCAAGAATAAGATCTTCCAGAAGAACTAGGCCCAAAACTAGGCGTCTGGGAAGCCTGAAACCCAGGCGGGAGTAGCATTACCCTGACCCTCTGCGTTCCTTTAGGCAAAGGACATGCTTCCATTGTTTGATCAATTGCTTGTGTTTGTTAAATAAATAAAACCCTTTTCATGTATCTTTGAAATGACGTTGGTTCTACTAGCTTGTGATTACACACAATGCTGCAGTCATCGTTCTGTACACTTCTCATTGGCCACTGTGTATTTCTATAGGATAGAGGCCTGGAGAGCAGTTGTTCCAGCAGAGTGATTACCTGGGTTTTTGTTGTTGTTTGTCCATTTGTTTTATTTTGAAAAGGAGTCTCACTCTGTTGCTGAGGCTAGAGTGTGCAGTGGTGCGATCTCAGCTCACTGCAACCTCCGCCTCCCGGGTTCAAGCAATTCCCTGCCTCAGCCTCCCAAGTAGCTGGGATTACAGGCACCTGCCACCACACTTGGCTAATTGCTGTAGTTTTAGTACAGACGGGGTTACACCATCTTGGCTAGGCTGGTCTTGAACTCCTGACCTCGTGATCCACCTGCCTTGGCTTCCCAAAGTGCTGGAATTACAGGCATGAGCCACCATGCCCAGCCTGCATGGTTTTTGTATATTTATTTATTTTTGAGACAGTCTCGCTCTGTGACCTGGAGTCACAGGCTGGAGTGCAGTGGCGTGATCTCAACTCAGTGCAACCTCTGCCTCCCAGCTTAAAGTGATTCTCCTGCTTCAGCCTCCTGAGTAGCTGAGATGACAGGCTCAAGCCACCACACCCAGCTAATGGTTGCATTTTTAGTAGAGATGGGGTTTTACCATGTTGACCAGGCTGGTCTCAGACTCCTGACCTCAAGTGATCTGCCCACCCTGGCCTCTCAAAGTGCTGGGATTACAGGCATGAGCCACAGTGCCCAGTAATTACATGGTTTTTATATCCTTCCATTTTCTGGAATTATTTTTGGCTCATTAGCTATAATTCTTTCTTTCGTTATGTCAGTGATGGCTTTAGGGTTTCTAGACTACATCTTGATCAGTCTGCCATCCAGTGACATTGTACCTCCCCTTCTGGCCTTTATGCTAGTGTTGTCATGTAATTTGATTTTAGACATGTTATAAACTCCAGAATTCCTTATTCTTGCTTTTATTTAATCTGTCAAATTTTTAAAAATATTTAAATAATAAGAAAATAATATATTTACATGTATAGTGACTTTCAGTCATCTCCATTGCCTTGTGTGGGTCCAGGTTTCTGCCTGGTGTCCCTGTCTTTAGCGACTTTCAGTCATCTCCACTGCCTTGTATGATCCAGGTTTCTGCCTGGTGTCCCTGTCTTTAGCGACTTTCAGCCATCTCCATTGCCTTGTATGGTCCAGGTTTCTGCCTGGTGTCCCTGTCTTTAGCAACTTTCAGTCATCTCCATTGCCTTGTATGATCCAGGTTTCTGCCTGGTGTCCCTGTCTTTAGCGACTTTCAGTCATCTCCATTGCCGTGCAGGGGTCCAGGTTTCTGCCTGGTGTCCTTGTCTTTAGCAACTTTCAGCCATCTCCATTACCTTGTATGATCCAGGTTTCTGCCTGGTGTTCCTGTCTTTAGCGACTTTCAGTCATCTCCATTGCCTTGTATGGTCCAGGTTTCTGCCTGGTGTCCCTGTCTTTAGCGACGTTCAGTCATCTCCATTACCTTGTATGATCCAGGTTTCTGCCTGGTGTCCCTGTCTTTAGCGACTTTCAGCCATCTCCATTGCCTTGTATGGTCCAGGTTTCTGCCTGGTGTCCCTGTCTTTAGGCCTGAGGACTCCTTTAACATCTTTTGCGGTGTGGTTTGGTGAATTCTGTTTTGTTTTTGTTTGTTTTCCAGGGCTGGGGGAGGCCATTTAATGAGCTAGGACAGTACAAAGTGCAGCCTTCCCTCCCTGGGAAAGGCAGGAGCACCTGGGCCGGGCTTGCTGGGAAGGGAGCAGCTTCTCAGTGGGCTGGGGAAGGGGGAGGTATGTTCCCTGGGCCTTCGGAGGAGAGCGGGGGGCCTCAGCATTGGGGGCATGGGAGTTGGGTGTACCCCAGGGTTTGAGGGGTGAACTTTAGGAGGTTGAGGGTGGACCCCAGGAGCTGATGGATGGACCCCAGGAGGTTGGGGTGGACCCCTGGGGCCTGAGTATGCATCCCTGGGGCTGGTGGGTGCACCCCCAGGGCCTGAGGGTGAACGGTCAGGGCTGCTGGGTGCCACCCTGGGACCTGGGGGTGAACTGCTGCTAATGGGGGAGGGTGGACCCCTGGGGCTGGTGGGTAGACTCCAGGGGCTGGTGGGTGAACCTCAGGGGCTGGTGGGTGAACCCCAGGGGCTGCAGGGTGGACTCCAGGAGCTGGGGGATGGACCACAGAGGTTGGTGGGTGGACCACAGGGGCTGGGGGATTGACGCCAGGAGCTGGGGGGGTGAACCCCAGGAGCCGGGGGATGGACTCCAGATGTGGCGGGGTGCACCACTGGGGCCAGTGGGTGGACCCGTGGAGCTGGTGGGGACAGCTGGGGTGGTCCTGGGGGCCCTGAGGGCACAGGCCCCGTCGGGGGGCATGGGAGGGCAGAAGCAGGCCTCCTGGCGGGGGCGGTGGCAAAGACTCGGGCAGCAGTGGCCGAGGGGGCAGACCGGTCATCAGCGGGGGTGGAGGCCGCTTCTCTCCAGGGGGTCCGGCCGGGAGGCTGGGCGGAGCCGGGGTCTTCCGCATCTTAAAGTGGAACTGGAGAAAGAACTGCTTGGTCTCCTGGTTCCAGTGGGTCCAGAACTTGTCCTCCGCCTTGTCGATCTCTCTGCTCAGCACCTTGAAGGCGATGGTCTCGTAGGGCTTGGCGGCCATCAGCAGGTACTGCCAGAGCCAGTCCGGGGGCTGGATCCGCAGCTCGTAAGCAGACGTGAAGCGGTGGCGCAGCATGATGCCCTCGCGATCTCAGCGTAGTCGATCTGGAAGAGGAGGCTCTGCTGGCTCATCTCCGAGTCCCTCTGCTTGGCCACTTTGTAGCCCGGGTGGCCGATCTTCACAAACTTCTTCACCTCCACCTTGACCTTCTCAGGCGCAGGCTGGGCAGGGGCCTCCTTGGCATCCTTGGCCGCTCGCCGGGCCAAGTTGGTCTTGTGCTTCTTCCCCTGGGTGTGTGCCAGGTAGCTCCCCTCGTCGTGAAACGTCAGGCAGAGATTGCATTCATAGGAGCCCAGGTGGTTTTTCATAAAATATGGGTCCTTGTTGATGTCGATGGTCTCCAGGGCCAGCTGCAGGAGGCGCTCCCTGCGGTCACTCACGGTTGCTCTGGGAGGAGGCCACGCCCCCCTCCCAGTCTTGCCCCCAGGGCAATGCTGGAAGTTCATGGTGATGGCCTCTGGGCTTCAGCAGACTGGGAGACACCAGAGCCCAAGGCTGCACTATCACCACCTTGATCCGCCACAGCCACGATTTCGCTCTGCGCTAAATTCTGTTTTTTTTTTTTTTTTTTTTTTGAGACAGAGTTTCGCTCTTGTTACCCAGGCTGGAGTGTAATGGCGCAATCTCGGCTCACTGCAACCTCCGCCTCCTGGGTTCAAGCGATTCTTCCACCTCAGCCTCCTGAGTAGCTGGGATTACAGGCACACGCCACCATGCCCAGCTAATTTTTTGTATTTTTAGTAGAGACGGGGTTTCACCATGTTGACCAGGATGTCTCGATCTCTTGACCTCATGATCCACCTGCCTCGGCCTCCCAAAGTGCTGGGATTACAGGCTTGAGCCATCGTGCCTGGCCTTTTTTTTTGAGACGGAGTTTTGCTCTTGTTACCCAGGCTGGAGTGCAATGGCGCAATCTCGGCTCACTGCAACCTCTGCCTCCTGGGTTCAAGCAATTCTTCCAACTCAGCCTTCCGAGTAGCTGGGACTACAGGCTCGCACCACCACACACAGCTAATTTTTGTACTTTTAGTAGAGATGGTGTTTCACCATATTGGCCAGGATGGTCTGGATCTCTTGACCTTGTGATCCGCTCACGTCAGCCTCCCAAAGTGCTGGGAATACAGGCGTGAGCCACGCACCTGGCCTTTTTTGCCATGTCTTTAAATGTCCTTATTTCAGTCACATTTTGAAAGAGTTTCCAATTTGCCATAGAATTCCAGGGAAACTTTCCTTCACTGCTTTAGGATGTTGCCACTCTGACACTTTGTCATCGATATATCATCTTTCCTGCCTTTGTAAAACTGGCATAAAATGGGCTTCTTGTACTTTGGGCTTGTTGTATGATTTTTGGATTGTGTCTTTAAATTAAAAATATTAAATTAAAATACCAAAAGGCCCTGGGTGAGGTGGCTCATGCCTGTAATCCCAGCACTTTGGGAAGGGGAGGTGGAGGATCGCTTGAGGCCCAGAGTTGGAGACCAGCCTGGGCAAGATATCAAGACCCCATCTCTACCCTAGGTATGTATATATAAGTCCTAGATTCATCTTAAGTTCTGTAACAATCGCTTAAAATAAAATGTGCCCACCCTGAGGGTCAGACCTACCTGCTGACTTGCGCTCTGTGTTTGTGAGACATTCTCAACCGCATCTGCTTTCCCTGGCCAAGGTAGGTTTTTGTGTTTTCCTCACACCTGAATGTCTTCAGTGTAAAACTTGTCAGAAATCATTTTCTTTGCTAAAAGATTTCAAAATACTCTTACTTCAATTAAGTGCATTAAAAATGAATTTCTCAGCCAGGCCTGGTATCCCAGCACTTTGGGAGGCCAAGCTGGGCAGATCACCTGAGGTCAGGAGTTCAACACTAGACTGACCAACATGAAGAAACCCTATCTCTAAAACAAAACAAAACAAAAAATAGCCAGGTATGGTGGCACATGCCTGTAGTCTCAGCTACTCGGGAGGCTGAGCAAGAGAATCACTTGAACCCAGGAGGCAGAGGTTGCAGTGAGCCGAAATCACACCATTGCACTCCAGCCTCCATCTCAAAAAAAGAAAAAATAAATAAAAATATTTCCCAGTTGCATCCCTGGAATCCATGGAAAATCCAGGAGAGACAATCAAGAGCTACAGAAGCAAGCACTAACCAGGGGAGGACCAAGCCTGGCTTCCTCACTAGGAGTCAGCGCAAAGTTATCTGCTTTGGTCTCCAGTGCAGAGTGGAACTCGGTTCACCTGTGATGGGAGA